GTCGGAATAACCACGGACTGTTCCACCGCGCGGTGCAGGGGGAGCCAGTTTTGGCCGGCTCCATGCCATGGACCGTGGCGTTGGGCACGGACGAGCACGGCCTGTCCCTCCCCCGGCCGCGGGACACACACGCAGAGGCGCGCGGCCGCGGGGCCCGGCCGTGCCGGTGCCGGTGCCGGTGTCCGCGCCATGCTGCGCCCGCCGCGGCCCCGCACCCCAAGCAGGCGGTGTTAGCGCGGCGGGGGCAGGCGGCGGCGCGGCGGCTCCGTTACCTTCCTAAAGAAGGGGATGCGCTTGGCGTGGGCGGGGGGGGTGGTGACACTGCTCACGCTACTCTTAGGGGAGCGGTGCGTCTCCGCGGCCGCCGCCGCCTCCTCCTCCTCCTCCTCCTCCTCTAACTCATCGGCCTCAAAGGCAAAGCCAGGCACGTCCAGGCCGCCTGGGCGCGGGCGGGAGCCGCGGCGGAGAGAAGAACAGCGAGAAGGGCCGTGAAAAAAGAGGAGGGAAAACGGGAGCGGGCGCCGGGAGCAGCGGGGGGGCCGTGTCCGGCATGGCGAGCCGCTCCGGGCACATTGTCCCCCGCCAGTGTCCCCGCCACGTCCCGTCCGCCCCGTCCGGGGCCGCCCCGCGGGCAGGGGACGCGCTTACCGCTGGCCGGCGGGGTGGGCCGGCGCGGCCCCGCGCCCGCGTCGCCCGCGCCGGAGCCGCCGTTGTCGCCCGACCTGCTGCGCGGGCAGGGGAGAAGCAGAGAGGGCGGTGGGCGCGCGGGCCGGGCGCGGGCCGGGCGCCGCGGGCCGCCGCTCCCACCTGGAGCTCAGGCGGCTCTGCCTCAGCTTCTGCTCCTGCAGCAGCCGCATGGCGTCCAGCTTCACGGGGCTGGGGATGAAGCCCACCTCGCAGCCCTCCTTCACCAGCCGCCCGATCCACCAGTCGTTGTTGTATTTCTGTAAAGGGGGGAGGCGCCTGAGCGCCCTGCTGCACCCAGCGCCTCGGCGCCCACCACCCAAYCGGGCAGTACCCACCACCCAGCCATGGCGCCCACCAGTCAACCACGGTGCCCACCACCCAACCACAGTGCCCACCAGTCAGCCATGGCACCCACCACCCAACCGTGGTGCCCACCACCCAACCATGCCAGCCTACACCCAACTGTGCTGCCCAGCACACAGCCATGGTGCCACCACCCAGCCATGGCGCCCAACACCCAGACTTGGTGCCCAACACCCAATCACGACGCCCACCACCCAACAAGGGTGCCCACCAGTCAGCCATGGTGCCCACCACACAACTGTGGCACCCACCACCCAACCACGGCACCCACCACCCAACAAGGGTGCCCACCACCCAACCATGGCAACCACCACCCAACCACGGTGCCCACCACCCAACCATGGCACCCACCACACAACCATGGCACCCACCACACAACCACGGCACCCACCACCCAACAAGGGTGCCCACCACCCAACCACGGCACCCACCACCCAACAAGGGTGCCCACCACCCAACCACAGCACCCACCACCCAACCACGGCGCCCACCACCCAGCCCCACAGCAGCTCCCCTGTCACCGCCAGCCCCTCGCACCCCCAATTCCCACATCCCCCGGGCACCTGCCCCCCGCCGCATCCCCACCACGTGCCCACGTCGCCCGCGCCTCCCCGAGCCCCCGGCACCGCTGGGCGCCCCCGGTGCCCCCCACCTCCTTGATGTGCAGGAAGTCCTTGGGCTCGAAGCAGATGGCCATCCCCTGCACGGGCACCTCGTCGCTGCCCGACGGGTTGTAGCCCACGTTGGTCCGCACGGCAAACGCCACCGGCTTCGTCTGCGGCCACAGGGGCCCTCAGTGGGGGGGGGCAGCTCCCGGACCCCCCCCACTGCCACCCTGGGTCCCCTCCCACCCCCCACCAGAGCCTGGGCTCTGCAGCCTGCTGCCTCGTTAGTTAATTGTGTTGGACACAGGAGCAGAGCCGGGAATTGGGGGTCCCACAGCCCCCCCTGCACCCTGTCCCCTTCCCCAGCGGGGACTTCACTCCCCCCTGGGAGACCACCCTGGACCTGAGGGGGCCAGGACGGCTCGGGGGGACACGGGGCTCGCAGGGGGGCTCCCTGTGTCCCCCTTGTCCCTCCCTTGCAGTGGCACTGGGGAGGACATTGAGGAGCAAGCAGGACCCAGAGGCAGCGGCAAGGGCCCCGCGCGAGCCAGGGGCTTCCCCGCAAGCCCCCCGCGCCCAGGGCAGCCCTGGGGGCACCCCTGTCCCCGTCCCCCCATCCCACCTTGGCCTTCTCGAGCTGCGCCAGCGCCTGGCGCTCGGCCTCCTTGCGCAGCGCCTCGCGGTCCTCCTCCAGCGACACGTCCGAGTCCGACGGGCGGCTCGTGTAGGACTCGGCCGAGCCCTGGCGCCGCACGGGGGGCAGGGGGGGTCAGCGGGCACCCCCCTGCACAGCCCTGCCCCGCGCCTCGGTTTCCCCGCGGGACGGCCGGGGTTACGGCGGGGCGGGCGCCGGRCGCAGCTGTTCCCAGCGCTCCGGCCGGGAAGGCGACAGGCGACACCGGGCACGGGCGCCGCGGGGGACGGGGCCGCGGGGGTCCCCCGCCGCGCCCCACAGCCCTGTGGGGACCGCAGCGGTCCCGGGGGCGCGAGGGTCAGCCCGGGACAGGGTTGGCGAAGGGGCCCAGGCGTCCGGGCGGCCTCGGGACGCCCTCCTCGAGGGCAGCAACGGCGCTGCCGCCACCCAGCCGCTCTGCAATCCCGTGGGCTTCCCCCCAGGAAGCCTCATTCCCCCCCAGAGCCCCCCGGCATGGTTTGCTTGGCGCGCACTGCGGCTTGGCACCGACCCCCCAAGACCCCCAAAACGGGGCGCCCCCAAAGCGAGCCCTGCTGGGGGCGAGGGGACAGCGGGAGGTCACCTGGGGCCGATGCCCCCCCCCGCCAGCCGCACGGAGCCCAGGGGGGCGCACGGGAGGCACAGGGGGGTCCCGACGCGGAGGGCGGGGAGGGGGGCTCACCAGGGCCTCATGGTGGTGGTCTTTGCTGCCCACGTCCATGGTGGCGCGGCGGGGGCCAGCGGGCGGCGGGGGTGGCGCCCGCGGCTCCGGTTTCAGCGCCCGCCGCCCGCCCGGGTATATTTAGCCCCGCGCGGGAGGGGACAGGGGCCACCGGGGCGGCGGGAGGGGGGGCGGCGCCGCGGGGGGGTGCCGAGCGAGCGGCTCCGCGGGCGCCGGTGGCCGCGGGGGGCCCCGCGTGTCCCCCCCCGGGCCCCTCACCTGCCGCACAAAGCTGTTGGACGTGGTGTCCGAGGAGGTGCTGCCGTCCGAGCGCTTGAAGCGGCTCTTGCGCTTGCTGTACTTGCCCTGCGGAGAGGGGGCGCTGCTGAGCGGCGCCCCGCGGACGGAGCCGGCCTTCCCGGGAAGCCGGCCCGTCCCTGGGGCCCGGTGTTGAATCCGCCGGGGCCGCTCTCCGTGGAGAGCACGGGGAGCACTGGGATGACTGGATCCGCGGGAGAGCCCGGCCGGCCGCGCCTGCATCCTCACTGCCTCCTCTGTCCCCGGCACCACCGCCACCCCCCGGCATTGCCACCGTGCCCCAGTACAGCCGCTGTCCCCCGGCATCGCCGTCGTCCCTGGCATCGCTGCCACCCCCTGGCATTGCCCGTGTCCCTGTCCCCCTGCCGCGGTGCCCGGCCGGCTCCAGGGCATCTCGGARCATCCCGGCGGTGCCGGGACGTTGGGGACACCCACGCGGCCTGCATGCATGGCTGTGCCCCACACTTGCACACGTGTGCCTGTGCCCGTACCTGTGCACACGTGTGACACACACGTGTGCCACGAGCGCACTCCCCCCAACCTGCGGGGGCACACGGGGAGGAGGGGCAGCCCCCCCGGCGGGCGCGCGGGCCGGGGCGGCGAGCGGGGACAGCTGGGCCCAGCTGCCACCGGGCCGGGGCCGCGCGCCCCCCACGCAGGGCACCAGCCGGTATTTTTAGGCTCCTCGCCCCCCCGGGCCCCCGCGCCACGCGGGGGAGGCGACAGGGACGAGGCTCCAGCAATGTCCCCCTGCCAAGGCGGGGGGCCCTGCTGCTGTCGGGGGGTGAAGAGCAACCCCCCCCAGCTGCGGGGGGGACCCTCCCGCACCCACGGCCTGGCAGCAGCCGCGGGGGCCTCGGTTGCCCCCCGTCCCGCTCGCTCCGGTGGGCTCTGTCCCGGTACAGGCGGCTCTGGCCGCACGTGGGGCCGGTGCCCGCGCGGAGCCCGGGATGCAGCACTGCCCGTCCTGCTCCGGCGGCTCCTGCGGGCACCGGCCACCCCGCCCTGGCACTCGGGATGGGGGGGACACCCCGGTACCTGCTCCATGCAGAGTTTGCCCCATTCCTAAAAGTTTCCCAGCCCCGCGCTGGACCCCCTGCTCCAAGGGGCCAAAGCCCCCAGGACACGGTGACACAGCAAGTGACAGGGGACCCGCGCACCGCCCCCCGCCCCGCGGCGCTGCCATTAAACCGGGGGGGGGGAATCGGGGTCTCCCACGCGGGGTCCCCCCCACAGCATCCCGCCCGTGGGTGGGAGCCCTCCTGTCCTGCCTGGAAGGGGCCGAAATGTCCCCGGTGCCGGCGGCCGCGGGGGACGGAGCCGCAGCGAGCCCGGCCGTGGCGCTGGGGGGGCCCATGGGTGCCCCCCCCGGCCCCGCGTCCCCCCCGGAGCTGTCACCTGGAGGGCGGCGTTGTCGAACACGTCCATGGGGATGTCCTGCGTGGAGCTGCAGGGCGTGCGGGCCATGCCGCCCTCCCGCACCATGGAGCGGCCGGAGCGGGCGGAGCGGGCGGCGAACGGGGCGCGCGGGCCCGGCCCCGGCGAGCGGCGGCAGCAGGAGGACGAGGAGGAGGAGGAGGAGGAGGAGGAGGAAGGGGAGGAAGGGGAGGGGGGCGCGGCGGCCTCCGCCCCCGCCGCGGCCGCTCCCAGCGCGCTGCGGGATGCGGGGATGCTCGGCGGGATGCGGGGATCCCCCGCAGCGGGGCGGGCAGGGGGCGGGCGGCGAACGGGGCCCGCCTCGCCGCGGCGGGGGCGGCCGCTCGTGACCGCGGGGCGGGGCGGGGGCGGCCGGGCCCCCTCCCCAAACGGCAGCGCCCGGCGCTGCTCCTGCCCCGTCCCGAATCCCGCGTCGCGCCCGGCTTCTCCTCCCGTCCCATCCCTGAATCCTCGGGGGTCTCTGCGCCGCTCCTGCTCGGGGCGCTCCGTGCGCCAACCCCCCCGGCCCCCGCTCGCTCCCCAGGGGGATCCGCATGGGAAGGGGCATCCCCGGGACCTGGTCGGGATACGTGCGGGCAGGAAGGGGCTGCACTGGGGCACCCACCGGCCCCCGCCAGGCCGCAGCAGCGGGAGCCCCGCGGGACACGGCCACCCCCGTCCCCCCGTGTCCCCTCATCCCCCTCCTGCCATGGGGCCGTCACCTCCTCCTCCTCCGCACTAGGGGCTGATCCGAGACCGCCCACGCTCATCTCATCCCACGCCAACCCCGCGGCAGGGGCCGCAGCCGCCGGCTCCCAGGCAGCTGTTGGAAAGTTGGAAATTCCTTGGGATCCCTGCGGCGCCCGGAGCGGGGTCCCCTGGGGCGCCCGGCCCCGCAGCTGCGGAGCGACGCGCCTCGGGAAGCTGACGGCGCATTTTCCATCCGCAGCCCCCGTCCGGCACCGGCTCCTGCGGCTGCGCCCACCCATGGGTCGCGAAAGGAGCAGGGGATCCATAGGGAACGGAGGCCGGGATCCATAGGGAAAGGAGGCTGGGGGGATGAGCAGCCCAAGGGTACCCACGGATACCGTGCGGGAATGTGGAGACATCTTGGGATCCGTGTGGCCTTCCTTGGAGCCGGTTGTGCCCCGGGATTGCTGAATCCTGCATTCCCACCCTGCCCATTCTTCCGCCTACCCCATCCCCGCCTCCCGCATGGATCGGGGGGCTCCAGGCCCCGCACGGAGGCTGCAGATGCGGATGCAGCCGGGAGCAGAGGCCGGACTGGGCGGTGGGAGGCCCGTGCCGGCCGGGAAGGAGGCAGAGGACGGAGGCCCTTGGCCTGTCCAGCGTGGGACACCRAGGGGGGACCAGGAGCACGTTTCTCTCGCAAAACGGACCCCAAAATCCGCTCCCCGSTCTCCTCTCCTCGCACATCGGCTGCGCCCCGGCCCTCGGCGGCTCCCGCCTCCAACCAGCGGCCTCGGGAAGCCCAAGGGAGCAGAACCACGGCGGAAACGKCACCTTCGGGCACCGTTTGTCCCATTTGGGCACTGCTGAACACCCAGGTCGTCGGAACGCAGCGCGTTCGCTGCAGCACTTTGCTTTTCAGCCACGCTCTTTATTGCAGAACTCCCCCTTTATTGTCAGCTCCGCTGTTTATTGCAGAGGACTATTGCAGAACTCCCTGTTTTTCGCACACCACCGTTTTGCAAGTTTTTCCTTTTTCCAGGAACTCTTCAACAATCAGTTCCTGGAGAGGCTCCAGCACTTTTCTAGGTCRTTTCTTTCACAAAAAGGATGTCACTTGTCACGGGGTTCATTCCTGGCCTTATCACTACTCCTTTTTCTTTTCACAGAGGTGCGTTTGTCCRAGGGAAATACGAAATGACTGCGGATGTCCATGCCTTGGTTTTCCAAACGTAAAACGGTGCCAGTGGCACCACGGGCCCTCCCCTGCGCTCCGTTACAGAGCCCCGGGAAGATAAAACCCCCTCTGCCAACAGACCCAGCTCTGCCACCTCCGCGTTCAGGGCCTTTTTAGGGGCTTTCAGCGCAATTCCTCCCTTTTCTCAGCGCCGCTACGGCCTGTGGCTGCGGAAGGGCTGGAACGCCATCSGGAGCGAGGCCAGATCCCAGGGGCTGGAATGCAGCCCCCCGGTGACGCAGCCGCCGGGCGACCCCCCGGGGGACAGGGAGCGGCGCCGTGAAGCAGGGACCCCCTGCTCCTTCCTGCAAGCCCCACGGCCGGGAGAGCGGCCGGGACCCCTCCGGCTGCCGGGGCGCCGTCCCGCAGGGGCTGCTCGTGGCCCGGGACACCGGGACGCGGCCCACGGAGCCCCCCGGACACGGGGCTTCTCCAGCCCCCCCAACGTGGACAGGCCCGGACAGGCCCGGGCAGCCCCAGGACAAGCCCCGGGCCCTGTCCCTACCCCGCGGGCGGCCCCCAGCCCCGGTTATCCCAAATTCCCACCCAATTCCCGCCCTCCCTTAACCCCAATGCTCCCCCAGCCCCACGTGCCGCGCCCCCCCC